CATGCTTGCTGCTCTCATTCAGGTACTCTTATATGGATTGTTCTTCAGAATTTGCCTTTTTTTATTTTTTGGGGGGGTGGGGGGAGAGAAGGGGGTGGTGGAAGTGGGGTATGAATTTTGTTGAAAACATCCAGGAAATAAAGAGAATGAATGAAAAGGGAAAAACTCGCCCTTCCCTGGCCAAAAAGTGTGATTTGGTGCCACTGGTTCCTGAGAGAAGAAACTCCTCCTTGGATTGTTCTCCCACAGGCCCTGTTCTCCCCAAACTTTGCGGGATTTCTGGACAAACATCCAGTGAAGCTGAGACCCAGAGGGGCAGAAGGGCAGCAAGGAATAGCTTTCTCTGTCTCCCTGTGTCAGCTGGGCAGCATTTGCCTTCAGAAATCAATATCACATGAAAAATAAACAGAGCATTAATGAGGACCTGTTGGGAAGCAGGGAGGGCTGTAATTAGTGGCACTTAGCAGCAGCAAGTGAAAAAGTGAAAATGGCACTGTCATGTTTCTTCATTATAGAAAATGATAAATGATGCCTCGTGACCAAGCCTTTTGCCTTTTTTGTCCCAGCAGAGGTGTTGGCGTGGCTCTGCTCCACAACATCTGCACCGTTCTGCCTTTTGTGCTGACTGACCTCTGCTCACCATGAGGGCATTAAGCAGGATCTGCAGCTCCCATCTTGGAGAAGACTCTCACCAGGTGACAAGGGCTGAGGGTGGAGCAGATTGGGCACGGCCTGAGGCTGAAATCCTCACAGACGGTGAGAGCAAAATGGGTCTTTGTTGTTGCTGTGTGTTTTTTAATAGAAAAAGCAGCCTGCTGCCCATCTGCCAGCCCAGCAGCCCCATGGCATGCAGTTCTCTGCGGGCTCCAATCCTTTGGGCAGTGCTTCCCTCTTGGTAGTGCTGCCTGCAGTTCTGTGGGGGCTGTAAGATGAGGTGTAGAGCACTCCTAAGTCCATTTTATTTCCAGCACCTCCCATGTTGGTTCATTTTCTCTTTCCTGAGGAAATGCCACATCCTCCTCTCTCGACCCTTTTCCACTTTCTACAGCCATAAGGGCTCTGCCTTGGCTCCCCTCTCCACAGCCTCCCTGTTTGTGGTACCCTGTGTAGCTGGGAGCACTGGGGGCTGCAGGTCTCTTGGTGTGCAGGCACATGAGCAGCTTTCTATTGAAAGACCATCTGGAGGTGTAGGACATAGGAAGGGAAAGTTAAAAGAAGTATTTGAGGAAGACACCCAGCCAGCAACTAAAGAGTGTGCATCATCTGGTCCACATTCAAGCTGGTAACAAGAATCTTAGAATCTAGGAACTAGAAGGTTTTTTCTGAAGTTCCTACCCAAATGTTTGGAAGTGTTGAAGAGGTGGTTTATCCTGGGTATTTCTTGGTCTGTATGAACACAAGACTGTCCATACCCTTCCAGTAACATTAACTAGCTGCTATCAAAATAGGTAGAAACATGAAAAAAAACAACAATGCAGAAATTTCATCTCAGAGAATCTGGAAGGTGAGAATCCATATACCTTTCTCCAGGCAAACCCAGATATACATTTAAAATGGTTTATTTAAAAAGGAAGGATTAAGTACATTATACACGGTTGTGATTACACCAGCAGAACTGAAGCACAGTGGCAATAACACATTAGAACTGCAGACAGAAATGCAACCTCAAGGGATGAGATATATTAGCCCTTGTGGATTTGTGATCCATACAGAAAGGAAATATAAAAAGAGTTTACTGTTAGTAGTACGGGCACATGAAGTGATTTCTCCTATTCTGTGTGAGAAACCAGGAGGAGAGAGCTGATGAGATACCCGAAATTTGTTTCTCAGAAAATGGAATCTGCTCCAATGGCATTTCTGCTGTTGCGGTATGCTGTAGGCTATTTCCAAAGGACCGGCTGTTGTTAATGATGGGATGATGATACCTGCAGGCCTTACTGAGAAACCAGGGCTGATCTGTGTTAGATGCTGTCCGGGGATGAACAGAGAGGTGTGGAGAAACTGAAGGTTTATTTTAAGCTATCGTTAAGTGCTTTCAAAGTCCAACAGCAATCCAGCGCATTCTGATCGACCCTGTTCACGTGGAGGGATGCCACAAATCACTGTTTTGTTGGAATCAGAGTTTTCTCCAGGAAAAGGGATTTATGGAGGATTTTTATTTTTAAATGGAATTGTCGAATGTCACAGCTTGTTTTTGGCTTTGGCTGAACAAGGCAGTGTGCTGCAGTCTGACACAAACCATGACTTTTGGGATATGAAATCACTGCCCTGTCCTCCCCCAGGATGTGCATCCCAATCCCCATCACCTCCCAGTGCCTCGAATCCCTGTCCCAGCACCATCTCAGGGACACAGCCCCACTCTGAGAGGATTCAAACACGTTTACTCCAAATGAAGATAAAAAGAACAAAACCAAGGCGCAAAACGAACCTCACATTGTCCTTTCTGTTCAATGGACATGAGTTTAGAACAAACAGCCTATATCTAACTCCTGGTTTGAAAGGGAATGGTTTTATTCTTAATTACAGTAAACACGGATGGGACTTATTTCTATTAGTTTATTAACACAGTGGGAAACAAATAGTTCTGGGAAATTGCACTTGAAAAATACATTGACTATAATTAGATGTAAATTAATTAGCACTTAGTATGACGCACTAATGAGACAGAAGGTTTTTTTCATTGCAAACTTCTACTTCTATCATAGCTAATCAAAGTATTTTAATATTACGAAGTCTCAAAAAGTAGGAAATAATTTATTGTTTGAAAGCATAAAGATTCTTGTAAAAAAAACCTTTCATCAAGAACTTTAATAATTTTAGAATTCTTTTACGTTGTCCTAGCCGAAAAGTAGGTAAAAAAGTTTTCTCATCTGCCTCTGTTTGTGTATTTTTAAAAAGCTCGTGTAATACCTTTCTCCATAGTGTGTTGATACAGAAAGAAGCACTGCGTTTTCTACTTCTTTTCAATAGTTCCCATCACTCCGTTCGTATCAGCTCTCAGAGTTCAGAGGTCTGAAAAAGGATCCCAGCAGAGTTTTAACCTGAATGGAAATTCTTAACAAGCGGGGATGAAGGCTCCAGCCCACCTCCGCTGGATGGTTTGCCAAAATCATGCTTTCCATCATCTGCCGCCATGAGGGCAGAACAGAGCAAGACAGCGACTAGGGGAAGACTTGCGCTTAGGGCTGAGCATTGTCTCGGTTCTTGCAAGAGAGAGGGCCAAGCAGGGCTTAGGTGGGAGGGAGAGGTTTGACTTATTGGGTTGTTAAGGCAGCTCCTCCAGGGCTTTGCTGGAGGACTTGGTTCCACTGGCTGAAAGCCTCGCATCCAAACCACCATTGCATTGTGAAGCTGCAGCCACCACAGGGTGAGTTGAGACTAAGGAGGTTGTAACAGCTTGGCTGAGATCTCTCACTGTCAGCTTCCCAAGTCATGTTCTTTCCTTGTCACCACTTCTCTAGTCTCCAGGTAGAAAAGATTTTCAGGGTGAAAAAGATGGATGTGTTCAAAGCAGCCTACAGGAACTGGATGCTCCTCTCTCATTGCAACTAACTCATTCAAGGGGAACCGGGCACCTCGTTCTCGTATGGCTTGGCTGAATGATCACTAAAAGAGATGTGAGTACTGTTAAATTGAATTACCTTCAAGTCAGGACCTTGAGATTTGAGAATCCAAGCCTAGGTGTAAAAACAAAAACAGAAATTTGAAAGAAAAAAGAATTCGGACTCTTTTAGAAACATATAGAAGCAAAGGGTGCAGACCAGTCTCCCCCTTAGGAGATGCATAGAGTTTCCTGTGGGCTCTCTGCACATAAGTAGAATCATCATTACAAAATAAATTAAATTAGGCTGAACCATCATTTCCATCTAAAAGCAATTATACCTTGCACCATGCGGCACTTATTCATAATAAAAAGAGTTTAATAAATATCTCATAAATGGTGATTGTTTTTTGTTCCATTTCAAAAAACACGAAGTCACCATCCGTTCTGTCAACGCTCAGCTCCCATTGCTGCAGGATGTGCTGCTAGTCCAAACATATCAGCTTCTCATCTTCATACACGTGTTGCTCAGATATCTTAGTTTCCAGTAGCGTTAGTGTTGCACTTGTGAAGCAGTAAGGAAATGGGGGCTGTGGTCGCAGGCTCAGCCCTGCTCCTCACCCTGGCTGCACGCAGTCCGCAGGGGCCTGCTCCTGGCAGACAGCACTCAGCACCTCGCCGGATCAGGCACTAGGGCTAGTCGGAATGAGAATTCAAGTTTTCTAATTGTTAGGCAAGAAATGATATTTGCAAAGATGCTCAAGTCCCACCTACCTTAGTCCCTCCCTTGCTAGGCGCTGGGCAATGCACCCACCCTGTTCTCCCCACCCGTGCTGCCCGGAGGGGTTGCCTTCCACCCCCAGGTAGGAGACCCCTGGATGCCCCGTCAAGGAGTCTGTAATGTTCAGCACATGAATGATCTACGTGTTCAGTAGCGCAGGTCAGTTTTAGATGGTGTTGTCTTCAAAAATATCTTCTATATATTTCTTTTTTTTTTTTCTTTTCTTTTTTGGAAGAGGCAAAGCTCACACTGTGTCAAAGGGGAGCGGATCACTGGAGGACTAGTTCATATCCTTGGGCTTGGTTGTAAATTATAGTTGCCAGTTTGTAGTAAGGGATCTTGATTTAGAAAACAGTTGTACAACAATTCTGCGACCCTTGAAACACACCAGTGGCAAGTCCTTCGCAGCTTCTCCAAGACTTTGTACACATTACAAAAGTGCAGGGACATGAACTACCTTCATCTCGTGACACCAAGAACTGAAAGAAACAAACTCCAAATAGCTTTGAAAAAGCTACAAGCGTGTAACATCTTTATGTTGGTCCATAGGATCCCCACTTGCTGCCTCAATACATGCCACAGTTAAAGAGGTGAGAGGGTATTTTAACATCGCTCCTTCTCTTTCATGACAGGTCTGTTCTGATATTTTTTCCAAAAACCACAGGGAGGGAAGGAACTTCAGACTGGTGTTGTTCTCCTGTTGACCATGTTGACGTGGAGTCCTTCCTTAAATTCCTTCTGAAGGAAGTTGTGGACCTGCAGAAAACTGGCTTCTTGGTCTGCATTGTAGCTGGCGGCCGTTGTGACCTTCAAGGGCTCTCTGGACAGAGTGTACATGGAAATCTCGTTCATGGGAATGGTGCTTGCTATCTTCATGCCAACCGGGGAAATGTCTCTAGATGGAGAAGGCTCTGTGGATCGAGAACTGGACCTGGACCTCCGCCTCCTGTACCTGTAGCTTGGCATCCTGGCATAAGGAGAACTGGAAGAAGTCTTAAGGAATTCCCTCTTGGTCTTAAACCTCAGCTCTTTGTTCTTCTCGATATAAATGTTCACAGCCAGAACACCTATGGTTTCGGCCACGATAAAAGACAAGGCTCCAAAATAGAAAGACCAACCGTAGTTGTAATGGTTCTTTTTGTCCTCATCTCGCTTATCACTCGGGTCACCTGCGTTGCTTGATATGTAGACAATGATCCCTATGATATTACTTAGTCCTAGAGAGAGAAAAACAGAAGTCAGCTGTCACATGGCTGGGAAATTTAAAAATTCAAGCCATGTTACCTTTTAGACAAGAATATTTCTAAGACTATGACCAGGAAATTTCATTACATTACATTTACTCTTAACTATCCGAAGATTTCATTTGTCCTTGAATAACAAAGAATAGACCCATGTCGTTTTCACGGTTGCTTGCAAAGATCTTAAAAGATTCAGCAGGATCTGTCCCCATTTCTTCACTGACATGATGGGAAAGAAGTAGCGTATGGGAACTTGCTAATATTGTTAGTAATAAAAATACATTTTGAGCTCAGGGCTATGGCTGTTCACCTTCATCAAGAAAAGTTCTCTTCCACCTTGCTGAATTTCCATCTGAATGCAGCATGCTTAATGTGAGCTTCAGGGAAGTCTATTAACAATGTGGATGACTCTCTTGGACGTTCCTAATTTGGAAAGCATACTTACCTAGCATAGGTGAAGTTTTTCTGCTCTCGTATAAGAAGAGGAAAAAAGGGCCAGGATGTAAGAAATGCCTGATTCATGCTTCCATTCAGGCATCTTGTGTTTAGTACATTTTAAGTAGAGCAAAAACTGGATGCTACAAGCATCCTTGCTTCCTGCAATTTCTTTTTCAAGAAAATGATAGTTTCTCAAGAATTCGCATTTTGAAGAGCTTCAAAAACCTTCCTTTTTCTTGAGAAATTTGCCCAATATGAGGTTGGTCATGCCCTCAACCCAGGATAAGGACAGAGGAAGAGATGTGTCACCCAGTTACTCCATGTGAAAATCAGCCCTAGAAGCAAAGCTTTGCACCCAGCCAGAAGGCTCGACACCACTTGTTTTCCTTGTGCTTGCCTTCATCAGCAACAAAAACAAGATTTCCTGATTTGGATATGAGCAGCTCAGCAGCATAAAGCTGCAGGAACACGTGACACCCACCTGCAATGAAAATGGCTTGAAAGAACTGGGATTCTGGGGAAGAAATTCAGGAAATTGAAGAAGAACTGTGGATGTGATACAGTGTCCTTCTCTCCTAGGTGGGCTGGGAATCACCCCATGGTATTTTTGGCCTGGCCAGGCCATGCTGGGTCTTGCTGGTGGCTTCCCCACCAGATGAAGCTGCACTTATGCATATTTCAATCCAAAAAGGCAGCGCTTCTTAAGGACTCAATTTAAGGAGAACATACCTGCTGCGACAAAGAGAATTCCAGCGCTGAGAATAATGTTGTTTTTGCTGTTGTAAATCCGCCCTGCTCCAACACAGAGCCCTCCCAGCAGCAGCAATATTGTGCTTAGGATGGGGAACACACTGGAGGCACGGACAATGCCTGCAGGGGAGATAGGAAGCAAACACAACAGACAGTAATCATTTCAGATGCCTCCTCAGGTGCTGCTGTGGAGACTGCAAAGTCTCCAAACCCCAAATTTTGCTGCATTTACCACTGATTCTGCATTTGTGGGCAAGTGTGGGGGAGCCGAGGTGGGTGGCCAATGTAGAAGGGCTCCCTTCAATTGAGCAACATCAATCTCTCGAGTTTCCTCCTAGGAAATCCAATGTTTTTGCCTTAATGTGATGCCACCAGAACATTTCTGATGAAGCACGAGGTAAATGACAGCCAGCATCACGCAGTGGGCAGCACTGAAATATTCATGAACTGGTGATGAACTGTGCACCGTTTGGGGACAGCCTCACCAGAGGGTCTGCTGCTGTGTGTAAGGTGAGCAAAGCACGGCTCTTGGAGTTTGCAGCATTTGTGTTAGCAGTGAGATAATTACTCTTTTTTTTTCTTCGTCCCTGTTGAGTATTTAGGACTTTGAAACCTTTCAGGTTTCTAAGGAGGAAATTTTAACAACTATATCTCAGACGTTTGTGTTTCGTTTCCTGACAGCTAAATGGAGTCAGTTAAAATTCTGTGTGCTTCAGCCCGTTCATCAGTATGGGCTATAAAATCCCTGCACAAGGATCTAAGCCACTGATTCTAGCCAGCCTTCAGGCCCTATGGGACATTATGGGGCACTATGGGGCAAGGCAGCAGCTGAAAGTGGAGCAGGCAGCACTAGTGTCAGGACATGCACAGGGAGATGGGGGACCCCCAGGGCTGCAGGTATGAGGAGGGAAAAGGTGCCAGCAAACAGCATCTGGGGCCATGGGCTGCCGCAGTCCCCCTCGGGTGCCATCTTCCTGGGGACACACACGGTGCTGCTTCTCAAGGAGGAATGGCCAGATGCTGCTGATTTCTCATTTGACTTCTGATGGCGGCGGCGTTGCTAATTTAGTGAATTGCTTTCTAACGATTCCCCTGGTGACCGGTGGCAAAACTCCCACAGATTGCAAGAGGGACAGGGCTGGGCATTTAATAACAGCAGTGCTTTTGTGTGTGCTGCAAAGCCCCCAGGAACCCCAGCGACAGGCCTGGGGCTCATTAGGATGGTGCAAACATAAAGCAAAGAGACAGTCCCTGCCTGGGAAGCTTGTGCCCGTATTGATCTGCCACTGTGTGAAAAGGACATCTCCTACCAATCCTGGCAACGCTGCTGCACGTGTTCTTTGCTGAGAGGGAATGTTCTGGCCGGATTTAACCCAGCTCAGTTGGGTGCTTTCCTGTTTGGAATGAGTTTTGCAGTAATTGGCAAACCCAAGGAGTGAGGGTGTCAGGTCACCGATGGATGCATGCTGAGTGCTGAGAGTGCATTCTCTTGTGCTGGGTGCGTCCCTGTGTGTGGTCAGAGGTAGAGGTGCTCTGACTTTTGGGTCAGTTTTTGGGATTGGTTATCAGAAAAAGACTCTGTGCTCATGGACACAGAAGCATCTCAAATCACTCCCTATTCATACCCCAACAAAAGGCAGCATAGGATTGAAATTTGCTGTGGCTACACCTATATGCTTATTTTTTCCTATACTTCATCTTCAAGCTGTTTATAACGATTTGATAATGACTGTAGCCTACTCCAGGGAACGTGCTTTAGTTGGGGGTTGGACCTGAGGATCTCCACAGGTCCCTCCAACCACTACAGTTCTGTGATTTCAAAGGACTTCTCTAAACTGCTTCAGTGACAGTATGAGAAGAGACTTGACAGACGTGCCGTGCACACGGGGTGGGTTGTATCACATCTAGTAAAAAGCCCCAGAGGTAATTTTTCTCTATTAGTTAATTAATGTGAAGAGAAACAAAACATACCGTGTTCTCTTGGGTACGATGGCTACTTTCAGCTCTGGAATTTAAAAGGAATACTCATAGGTACCATGTAGAATTTACTTATGTCTCCCAATACTGGTAATAAAATGACAGCAGATCAAAAAACATTAAGGGAATCTGGGCTTTGCTCTCTCCCCTGCTTTCTCCTTGTTTACCATCCTGTCCATTCGCATCGGCCGTGCTCTGTGCACTGACACCTCAGGGAAGCATTGCATGGGCTGTGCCGTCAGCCACGAGGCTGTGCTTGGCTCCACGCTGCCTTCCTGCTGCAAGCAGCCACAGGAGCTGAGCAGGAGGGCTTACAGCTTCCTTGCACGTGTTTGTAGTCACTGAAGCTGCTGCTCCTCTGGTTTTGCAGGGAGCAGACTGGGTGAAAGACTGCAGAAGAGGTGAAATCCGGACTGCTGCTCCTACTCATGCCCTGGACTGAAGTTCCCTAAGATTAGGCATTTTTTTTCACTGATTTCAATAGGATTTTGAACTGGGATGCTCTGCTGGTGCTATTTTGTTCACATTTATCTGAAGTCTAGGCCGGGTTGGTATCTGCAGGGAAGGCTGAGAGCCCATGTGCTGCTCTCCCAGGAGCACAGGGTGCACACAAGGTCAGGTCAGTGCCTTCATCTGAGCACAGCGTGGATGGGAACTGTGCTTTTCCCTTTGCCTCCCTGAGACAAAAATTAGGGCTGTCCCCAGCCAAGGTCTTGTGCCGAAGAACGGCTGCAGGTCCTGATGGCTGATGAGGGGACAGGAGCTTGCAAAGGTGTTGCAGAGGGGACAGAAGCGGGAAGGAGGGCCTCATGCCTCTTGTGAGCAGGATGCAAACATCCTTGTTTCTGTGCCAAGTTAGACGAGAACTGTCTCTCATTAGATGATATATACATTTACATATAAGCTCATTTATTCTTGATTTAGGTACATAACCTTCCAGTAATTTCTAAATCATCTGCATACATTTCATTTGAAGTGGCAGTTTTCCTTCCTGGAGTTAAAGCAGAGGTTCCTGCTATCCGTGCAGAGCTCAGACCTGATGGAGCAGTGGCTGCATCCCAGTGTTGCAGGAGGTACCAAGGGTTGTGCCAACTTGTTTTTAAGGTCTGTACTTAGTGACTCTTGAAAGCAGCTTTTAGGATCATCAGTCGCAGTACGCTTACAAACAATTTACCCATCTCCTGTCTTACAGAGCGGCTGTAACTGTTTTTCCCATCCCTTCCTCCAAACAAAAATGACATAATGCACTTTTATCAAGGTGCTGCTTAATTCATCTTTCCTTTAAAGTCCTTTTCCTAATGATGTTTCTTTCCTAAAGCTGACTTGGCATCAATTTGACATTAGTTCCAAGGCTTTGTATGAAAGATAAATGCAACCGCGCTCACACTCTGCAAGCCTGCCTTTGCCCAAGCACTGCAATCACGTCACCCCAGCATCATGACTGATCTAAATTGACAAGAGGAAAGATGAAAAAAGATCTGGGTTTTCTGGTAAGCACACTTTTCAAAAAGCCCTATTTTTCCTCCTTCTTGTCTTAGTAAACAAAAGTTGTTTCCCAGAAGTGAGCAGAAGGACAGAGTTGTTCTCTAAATGGTGTTTCAGGTAATTAATAGCGGTGTAATTGAGGAGCATTTTGCCTCGCTGGATGTCTCAGCCAGCAGCCACGCTCATTGCTCCCTGAAGCTTTCCCAACACCTTGTGTACTGCAGTTTCTTTCTCTTGCAAAAGGCATTGCTTTCAGCTTCGCTGGGCAGCTCTTTTGCACAAGAGAAACATCAAGGTAACACAGCTAAGGGGAGGGGAAATCTAACTCAGATTTTGCAGGATTCATGAAGTTTCACACTCAGGTTTCAAGATGTTGTATCTACCGAGAGAGCCATGGTCAGGAGGAAGGCAGAACGAGTGCCATTATTTCAAGCACTGTGTCAGTGGATGGAAGTACTTCTGTGCGGGCTTTCACACCAGCACAGAGCATCAGCGACCAGCTGCCGTGCAGGGAAATTGCAGCCCACATTCCTGCTGAGATTTTGCTGTTATCTGCAGCTTCCTTTCTAAGCTGCAGCAATTTCACTGCATGGGAGGTGGTTTGGAGCAGCTGCAAAGGATGAGGCTTGCATAAGGGCTGTGTTTAAGTGACAGGAAAAGCTTCCTCATGGGCAGGAACTCACTCCTCAGATTGCTTTTGCTACAGGAACCAACTAAATGCTCCCTCTGTAAAACATCCTTTCCAATCTGGGAATGCTGTTGTTTCCATTTAGAATGTTTCCATGTAATTTTTAAGAGAAAGGGCACCAAAATGGTGTGAGTTCCACGTGTGGAGGAAATCCTTAAAATAGTGATCCCTGAGGACTGGGCTCTTGCAATGAATAGTGCCTCTCTTTGGCTCCTAGTTCTGTGCACCAGGTGCTGCTTTCCAACTTACGGAGAAGGTATTCCGAGCTGTCATGGTCGTAGTCATTGTCTTCAGGGAAGTGGTTGATTCGGAAGCAGTGTCCTTTGTAGATTCCTAAATGAAAACAAAGCAAACAACACATATTCAAGAGAAGCAGGTGAAAGTCCCTCCGTCGGCTCTGCTTTATTCCCCTTCCCTCTTTCTATAAGAGTACTCTACCTGTGTAACTAATTTGCCACTGATGTTTCATGCCATCAAGAAACCATCTCTTAGGTTATGAATTCGGAGCAGGTTGACCAGAAGCTCAGCAGCAGGAAAGGACAGCCAGGATTCCCCTGTTATTCTCTTAACTCTGCCACTAGTATCCTTCTCTTGAGTTTTTTAATCTCTCTATGCTTTATTTTCCCAATGCTGTTCTTATCTTTGTAGGATACCAAGTCTGCAAAGCTGCTTTTTCTTCCTAGCATAGCTGTCCCTGTGGGTCCCTGCCCCACAGCATGAGTTATACAGCAAGACTGGGCACCGGAGCCATGCTCATCCCCGTGAGCTGCTGCCTTCCTTATCAGAGCTGCTGGATGTTGAACTGTCTGCTGGCTCTTCAATTGGAAAACATGTCCATAAATCTCCTCCTGCTGCGACTTCAACCTGCACGTCCCCCTCTGAAGGTTGGTTCAGTTTTTAATGGCACATTTGCTCAGCTAACTGGTAGCCCGTGCAGGAAGCCAGGCTGTGAGCACGTACTCCTGAGGCCCACAGGAACAATGCCAGATTAGATGGGTGAACAAGGCAGAGCATTCAGTACTTTGTCCACCTGCATAAAGGTTTGCTTCATAAAAAGTGTTTTATCTTACTTTCTATGATTATGCAGAATCTGCAGCCGGTCTCAGCCTGGGTGCTGTGCCTGCTGCTGCAGGAGCTGCATGGGGAGGTCCGTCTGAGAGCTTCCTGCAGCAGCTTGGCCCTGAGGTGTGATCCTGCCTTGCTGCTTTCATTATTCATTAAGCAGCGCTTTGGTGCTCGGGAGCATCCATCACCCCGGGGGAGTTATCTTCTGCGCTGGAGTTTTGGTACTTACAGCTCTAGCTGGCAGAAGGATTTAAAAACCATCACTTAATACGACTTTAACAGAAGCACAGCTGCAGTCTGTAGGATATAACCGTGGATTTATTTCGCTACCTATTACCAATGATTACAAAGATCTCAAAAGAATTACTAATCCACGGGATTTCAATTGCACCCTCTGAGTGTCAACTGCAGGTTTGCTACTACAGTGTATTTAATTCTTCCAGCAAATGACAGATCTGCTCTAATTGTGGGAACGGCTCTGGCTTTCCCTGTACAGCGTTTCAGGGGCTGTGAAGAACACAGCAGGGCTTCTGGTGCAGAAGGCAGTGCCATGCCAGTGCTGACCCACTGAGCACATTCCCCTCGTGTCCCCCTGCCCCAAATTTGGGGCTGCATGTATCCCAGCAAGCCCAGATTTTAAAGATCCCGCTGTTTGTTTTTATGGCAGCTCACATAAGGAAACCTCTCCCAGGACAACAGAACCTCTGAGATGGGATGGGTATTTCTACGAGCCTTTTCACTATAATAGGCAAAATTAGAGGAAATACATTCAGAGTATGATTTATTTTCCTTCCTGTGCAAGAAGAATAAATAGAAAATAGTCCTCTCATGCTAGAATCCTGTGGAAATAGGCCTTTCAATGGCACTCTGCTTCTGTGCATATAGGTTGGGCTCCTGGGCAGGCTGCAGGTATCTCTTCAATAAGTTGTAATTCAGTTGGTTGAATTTATCTGGAGCTGGTAGAAAAGCAGAAGTTTCACAGGGAACAGAACTCTCACAGTTGCTCCTTATGAAGCTCCATTGCCTGGGCATGGGCAGCAGCCCAAACAAATGTCCTGCTTCCAGAAATTCAATTAAGAGACACAAAGTCTGCAAAACCAAATTCCCCAAGCCTCTGGTGTCTGCAGTGCTGATGGATTGTGGGAGGGTTTCAGCCTCCGTAAAATGGCCGTATGTTATTAAAGTTTGGAATGAAATGGGCCCCTTAGCAGAACTTTCTCCTGCAGTGAGGCCATGGAGCCATCCCTTCCACTGCAGGGCTGAAATGTGCCAGCAGGACAGGGGGGGGGTTGGGATTAACAGTGTTTGGCTTTCTCCTGGGTTGTGGCTTTGACCCTCTGTCCTTTATACCCTGAGCCTCTCCCACCAGGACTAGCAGAGGTAGAAAAAGATAATCTGTCCTAAGCAGAAAATTCTAGAAGAGCTTGAGAATTCCTTTTCATTTGCAGTTTTTAGGGATATAGAGGTTGATCATTCTGACCAGCCACAGCACATGGCTGTGAAACTTGGATCTGTATCAATGCCTGGGAATACTAAACATTCCTCCCAATACTTTTGCTATACTTGAGATCATGGATATTGGTTCAGGGTTCTCTCTAGTGTCTGTAATACTGGATAGCTAATGACAGCAACAAACTGGATAATTTTTTTCCATAATCCTAATAGGTGTCATGTAACTCAGTGACAGCTCATTGAACCCTCAGTGAGGCTTGAAGTTGCTATCAAGAGCTCTGATGATCTACAGGGCGTGGAGGACTCTTTAGATCCCTACAGCATCAAAAACATACTTTTGCCAGGATATGTAAGAATACTTATTCTGTATTTTTTTCATAATGATGGGCTTTGAAACTCAGATTTGGAACAAACTCAAAGTAGCCGGGCTGGAAGCTGTTGAAGCAGTGGTTGGTATTTAAAGCACAACATCAGTCACACTTGTACTTAAACACAACGATACACACACCCTCCTTCCCTCAAGATCCAGCAGCGTACTCAGTTCCATGTCCTAACAGGTAAAGCAACGCAAAAGAACAACAGCCGTGAAACAGAAGCAGCAGAAAAAGGAAATGGCTCAATTAACTTCAGCAACAACCATTCTGCAGTGTCTACCCAAAGTAGGAACTCCTGGAAGCTCTTCTCGAGGACTTCGTAGGGCATGTCTCGAAGAAATGCATAGAATCACGGAATTATTAAGGTTGGTAAAGACCCTGCGTCATCCCAAAGCCCAACCCCAGCCCACCCCCATGCCACTGCCCACATCTCTGTGGTTCTGGAACACCTCCAGGGATGGGAATTTCCCCACCTCCTGGGCAGCTGTGCCAGTGCCATTTTCCACACCAAGATGTCATGTGGAAGGGAGAATTTTTGTTTGCATGAGTGCAGGACTGCAGTCTCTTACATCCTTTGGAAGGGAAGATGGAATATTTAACTCATAACTCTGTATCCACTAGAGAGAGATAAATAAACTGCAACCACTGCCTAACAGATATTAAAATATTGAGAAGCACTTCTGTATACCTCTTGAGAGTAAGATAAAACATCCCACCGAGACGCTGTAAGTATTACGCCTTTCTCCAAATGATTACTGATATGTTTAAATGATGCTTTTATAAATACAAACATTATAATGCATTTTTTTCTCCTCATAAGAACTTCATTCTGAATGTAGAGCCAAGACTCAGGATCTGGGCTAATGATGAGGAAGAGGCAAATTTTCTGAAGTGCTGCTGATGTAAGAATGTTTTTTTCCCTTGGTTACTGCATACTTAGCTGGCATTTAAAAACTGAGAGTTGTTTCTGACTCGGCTTCACTCTGTGTTCAAGGGCTTCTTCCATAGGATTAGCACTTCTCAACCCCACTAAGTGTTCAGATACCTATAATTAGAGTGTGATGTACTCAGATAATATGATAAGGGGGTAAGCGTAGGACCTAATCAAGATTAAGCTTTGTTTTGGGCTTTGGGATCTCAAGTTCATTGAGTTTTCAGCAGTAAATCAAAGTAGTCATCTTAACTTATGACAGCATGCTGCTTTTCCTTGCTCTTCCTCACATACTCCTTCAATAACACAGCCTGTACTGTTGCAGAAGTGTTCAGTGGGGCTATATTTTTGGATCACTGAGAACAATAATGCTGTAGGAGGCAAGGTCTGACCAACCTTGTTTGGTTTTTTTTTGACACTGGATGCATCCTGTGATCACATCACTGCTGGTCATTCCATCAGCCATTGGTTTCAGTCTACCATTTCCCATGGTTTGTCAGTGACAACATTCCCTGGTGGCCTGGAAGTATTTGCACAGATGAGCTCTGGAAGACAGAGCACCTCACGTCTGACAGCATTTGCCCAAGCTGTACTTCTGTTCCCCATCCCTCCCCCGTAATTTAGAGAACCACACAGCAATGTCTTTCCAAAGCATACTGCTCTGTTGTCATTTAAAATAGGTTTCCACCATGCAAGATGCTAGCAGCTTTGCAGCAGAGGACCTTGTCTGCAGGGTACTTCTGTCAATAGCAATTTCCATCTCCCTGCTCTGAGCACGAGCTTTCGGGAGGCAATATCTGATAGCAGTGGGAGACACATGAGGATAAATGGGGCTAGCTGCTGCCTCCTTCTCCATCAGCAGCTTCTGCAGAGCTGGTGCTTGGTTAACTATTTCGTCTACCAGCCGTCTCACCCACCCTGTTGGTAAGACTGCAGTAAAACAGCAGTTTGGGGACTTATTCGTGCTGGCTTCCTTGTGAGACACCAGGCATTTACTGCCTCCTTGGGTCAAACTCTCCTGCCAACACGCCACATTCCTGTAGGTCTTGAGCAGCTACAGATACCCAGAGCACACCCACGCACACTATTAATAGAGTAAAGCAGAGTTTTCTCCTTAGGGAGGGTCTGTCGATGGAATGAGCGCTATGAATGTCAGCTGCAGAAGTGGTCGCATGGCTGCACCAATTACCTGCAGGCAGGTAGGGACAGCGAGCAGCTGCCCAGCATCACACGGAGCAGCTGACTTCTTTCTGGCAAATGGGGGTCTTCAGGGATGGTTTGAAGACGTGTAAGGAAATGACTTACAAAGATCTTCTGACAGCACGTGTTCCCAGAAACAGGGGTTATAAGCTGCAAGGAGCTGACTGCGCATTAAAGGGAGGGCAGTTGGCAGGGAACCACTTCAGTTCTGGAGCAAACCATTAGCCTGATTTACTGCAACACTGGGATGTTGGAATGTTTAGCTGACAAGCATTCTGAACGTATCAGCACAGAGCAGGCTGATTGAGACC